CAGCGTTCTCTCCATATGCAGCACAAATTATTGCAGTGACTTCAGCAGCATTTTTCTTCAGATGAAACGCGAAGTGGATGGAAAATCGAATATGCTCTTTTGTTATTGCCATCGTGAACTACTGATTTTTGAGGTTATGTGCATCAAACGCCAAACCATATGGCATTTTAGAAGGCCAAATGTCAACGCTTTAAAACCGCAAAAGGGCGGGAAGATATATAAAATTTAAATTGTTATTTCGGTTATATGAAATCTAAAGCTCAGAACTTTTTTGTACACCTATAATATATTAAACTTAAAATTTTCCTTAAGGATCCTTTATCCTTTATATTTGATTGAAATTATGTATTCGTAAATTGTGTATATTCGTATATGTGTTTATATGTATAATTCATACAATATCAACTAAACTCATAATATCTCGGAAATGTTTCTCGTTTAGATGTTATCATTTATATCTAGCTTGATGCATCATAATATATTATGTATAAATTTTTATATAATTTAATGTATATCTTTCTATTTGAAAAGAAATATAGTTTTGAATAATTCAATTTGAAGTTGTAAGCATTTTGATATAATCATTTCTAATTAGATATAAACTTTTTCTTCGAAAAAAAATTCGATATAATTTTATATGGAATTATAAATATTTTAATATAATTGCATATAATTAGATATAAACTTTTTACTGAAAAAAATTTTAATATAATTTTATATAATTTAATATGGAGTTATAAATATTTTGATATAATTGCATATAATTTGTAATATTAATAGATCTCATTATGTATAATATAATTATATATAATGTTGTAACCCGTATGGGCTACAACGATAATATTAGAGATAGTCGGGTTCGTTAAGCCTAAGGAGTTGGGACTCCGAGCAGGATCAAAAGAATGGAAGGAAATCTTCTTGAAATCACTAACACACTTTCGTTATGTTACTTGGTTTATTTAACAATTGCACAATTTCTTGGAGTTAGTATTGCTTATTTTATTTATTTCACACACGGTTAGACGTCGGCGGACGCGTATCGCGTTACTCTGGCGGCCGTCGACCGAATATGTCACCTGAGACGCAGAACTATCTCTAAAATTAACGTTGTAGCCCATTCGGGGGTACAACACTTTACACACGGTTAAACGTCAGCGGGCGGCTCGGTGCGTATCGCGTTATGCTGGCGGCCGACGACTGAATATGTCACCTGAGACGCTGATAGTACGGCTAGCGTGAACTTCGCCGCGCTCTTGTAATATCTTGCGCGATGTTTATAATAATGATTCCGAACGACACGTGCTTGATTCTTGACTCTTGACTCTCCAGCAACTCCGCCTTGTGTAACCGATTATATAGTGATCGATGTCCGATCAGCATTCTGATCGATTGCGTCGATCGGTTGCGTGATATTGATTAATCAATATCACGCTCGGTTTGATCATCAAATTTAGGAATTTGATAGGCTTTTTCGCAATGTTCTCGCGTAATGCATTTCTGCGGTCTTTCGAAAGACTGGTCGCAATTTCGGCGGTCACACATTTGTGTCGTCTTTCGAAAGACTTTTCGAGATTCATGCGGCCTAATTTTGTTGCCATGCGGACTACTTTTATTATTGGTTGTTATTTTATTATTGGTTGTAGATCTGGCTACAACAATAATTATATTTAATATGATATAATTATGTATAATTATATCATATAGATATAAACTTTTTTTCTCGGGAATTTATAAACATTTTTATAAGAATAATGACTCTTATTAAACATAATATAGGTTCAGGGCTCTATATATATAATTAAATTATCTACAAGAATTACATATGCAATTAAGATTTTAAAATTGAGACTATTTATATAGTAACAATATAGTAACATTCATTAACCAGATTTATCATATTTTAAACAGACATCCTGTAATCACTTATTTGATCATTTCAGTAGCAAGTTTCATCCCAATATCGAGGTTAAGCAGCATCGAACAGGATCTCCAAATGAATGATCAGTTTTAGAAACATGTAATGATACGAGATAAAAAAATGTTTCATCACTTTCTCTCATTTTTTTTCATTTTTTCATTTTTTTTCACTTATTTTCTGTAAGGATATTTTATTGATTTTTTTTTAAATAAGCTAAAAAGTCAGAGATCAATTGAACCAATCAAATATAGACCGTTTTACAATATATTAGGCATATGGAGAGTCAGACGTTCTGTGTGGCAATACAATTATTGCCATTACATTTTGCAAAGTCCGTGAATTCAGACGGAGGGAATGACATTCGTAGCTTTATCACACTGATATATCCTAATACATTAGATCAGTAGGTTTGATTCTTTTCAGACTTCGCTTCCTCTCAGTATTTAGGAGACGTGATGCCAGTCGATTAGAATGGTTGATCAGCCGTTGTTTATGTCTCTCTGCGGCTATTGTTCTCTCTTCGGCGACAATATTGATTCGTAGGTCGTGATGTATATTCCTGTCTCGACAATACCACGATGTTTTTATAATATTTCTGAGCACTTTGTTTTGAAAAGTTTGTATATTAATATTGTATGTTTGTATTTTAATATTCGAAGCAGAGCTGCATCCCCACAACTGGATGCTATATGTCCAAATAAGATTTAGAATTTATATAACAAGAGTTTATTATGAGTTGATAAGCTGGAATTCCTGCCAATCATCCATTCCATTTTTAAACATATGCCATCCAACTGCTTCCGTTTAATCTTAATGTGCTCCTTTCATTGAAGTTTGACATCGAGCGTTATATCAAGATACTTCGCGATATTGGAGTATGGAACTACTTGCCAATTTATGGTTATTGGTAAGAGAGGTTCTTTTTTCAGGATAAAATTTATATGTTGAGATTTATTTTCATTTAGCTTTATACGCCACGTTTTGGTCCAGTCCACTATCAAATTCACAGCACGTTGAAGCTTACGTGTAGCTATAGCGGTATTCGTACCCATAGCCAATATTACCATGTCGTCAGCATATGTTGTCACTCGAACTTCGGGATTCCTTGGGATATCCGCTGTATATAAGAAACACAGAATTGGTCCCAATACGCTACCCTGTGGGACATCTGCGTTGATTTTTCTAAACCTGGAGTGGGCATCCTTGTTTTGAACTCTGAAGCTACGATATATGATTGTACATATGATTTCAGTAATTCTCTAAACGATTTAGGGAGTAGTCTTTCCAATTTAAGCTCCAGTCCCTCGTGCCATACCCTATCAAATGCTTGTGATACATTTAATAATATTGCTGAGCAGACGTTTCCATCCTCAAGTGTCATCTCTATCCTATCTGTACTATGCGATGCACCTGATCGATGGTAGAATATTTGTCACGGAATCCAAATTGGTGCTCGAGAATGAGATTGTTATTTTCTATGATCAATTTTAGTCTCTTAGCAAGAAATTTTTCAAAAACTTTAGCAATGACAAGAAGAAGTGATATCGGTCTGTACGAGGTTACTTCGTTTAATGATTTGCCAGGTTTCGGAATTGAGATTACCTCCGCTATTTTCCATTGATCGGGGAAATATTTCAGTCGAATAACCGCATTAAACAGATGGATCATTTTTATAATTCCTATGTGTGGTAGTTCTTTAATCATTTGAATGGTAATGAGGTCAAAACCAAGAGCTTTTTTTGAATTCAAACAGCTTATTATCTTTTGTACCTCCTTAGGAGAGGTGTGTTTTATAGAGTTATCATCTACATGATCATCGATGGATCAAATTGGATTGGATCAAATTATCGTTGTGGTTGTCAAATGGTTTGAAAATGGTTCTCTGCGAAGAGATTAGCCTTTTCTTGATTACTCCGAACCCATGTACCGTCTAATTTTCTGATAGGTGGAGCATTGATAGACGATCTTTCTAATTGCTCTCCATAGAGAATAACTATTCTTTAGTTAGCATCCTTTTCAGCAGAGAATCCCTGAAGATAACTTGCTATTCCTTGGTTTTTAATTTTATAAAGATGTTTCTTTAATTTTTGATTTAGTTTATTATAGATAGCTTTACATTCCGGATCACGTGTCCTTTGTCAATTTCTACACGCTTTCCTTTTCTCTCTTATCATTTCTTTGACTTTTACAGAAAAGTTATATATGAGAATGTCTTTTTTGTGGATAATATAATTATTTTTGCTTGCCTGTTGTAGTTGTTTCATAAACAGTCTGACATAATTTTCAATTTGTTCATGAGTTTTGAGTGGAACATTTAGCTTGATATTTTCCGAGATAGGCTTGTTGTAGTTGCCCCGGATGGGCTAATATTAGGTTAATATTAGGGATAATCGGGTTCGTTAGGCCTAAGGAGTTGAGACTCCGAGCAGGATCAAAAGAATGTAGGGATCTTCTTGAATTCATTAACACACACTTTCTTTATTTTAATTGATTTATTCTCACAAGTGCACAGATGCTTGATATATTAACGATTATATTTTACACACGGTTAAACGTCGTCGGATGACTCGGTGCGTATTGCGTTACTCTGGCGACCGACGACCGAATATATCACCTGAGATGCTGATAGTACGGCTCGCGGGAACTTCGCTATGAGATTCGGTAATATCTCGTGCGATTATTATAAGTCCGATTCCGGACGACACGTAGTATTTGACTCCCGTCGATTCTGCCTTGTATGATCGATTATATAGACTGGTCGATGCCCGATCAGCATTCTGATCGGTTGCGTCGATTGATCGCGTGATATTGATTGCTCAATATCACGCCTGATTCGATCAGCAAATTGAGGAATTTGCTGATAGATTTTTCGCAATATTCTCGCGCGATACATTTCTGCGGTCTTTCGAAAGACTGATCGCAATTTTGGCGATCACGCATTTGTGTCGTCTTTCGAAAGACTTTTTCCGATTTCATGAGGATTAATTTTGTTGCCATGCGGACTACTTTTATTATTAGTTGTAGATCTGGCTACAACAGGCTGAATAGTTATTTCAGTTCATGCTGTTTGTTGTTTGAGAAATTTTTTTTGTATATAAAGGTATCGCTAAGGTTTAGTATGACCGGAATGTGAGCTAAGATCGAGACTGGATTTGTAATATAATTTGTTGAGAGTCCTTTAACTATGAAAAAGTCAATCAGGATGCTTGTTTATATCTGAAGGTCAGTAGCTCGGGCTGCCGTACTTTTGACCGTACTTGACAAAAAATCACACTTTAGTGATTTACCTGCAGAGATTAATGCTTTTTCTTTAGATAATATATCTACTGCCCCAATAAGTATGCTTAGCATTAAAGTCTCCCCCTATTATATAGGAATTTCCCCGTGATTGAAGAAAAGCTAGGTATTCTTCTTGGTTAATGGTGTGCCTGGGAGGACTGTATATTGCAGTAATGGAGAATACATATCTTTTGCATTTGATGCTTACGGCAGAGATTTGAAAGCTTTCTGTTGATGTTTCAGGTTCCTCATAGTGTTTAATACTTGAACGAATTATGGCAGCTCCTTCACAGGCCTTATTGGACGGATGAATAGAGTGATAAGTTTTATATCCTTGAAATTAAATATTAAAGTAAGATTCTCTTGTGAAATGGGTTTCAGAGATTAGACATATCAATTTTTTGCTCTTTCAGGAAGATCTCTAATTCTGATTTGTGTTGACATAAGCCGTTTGCATTTCAGATAGCAATTCGAATTGTACCTGCCATTATTTCATTATGATTTTGGCCAGTTGCCTGTCTATTGAGTCAAACTTTGTTTTATAAAACTTTTCTTGCTGATCAAAACGATTTATGAGTTTTTCCAAGACTGTCATAATTTTGAAAGTTTCATTATTAGCTAATGCTTCGTTTGAATAACTTTACATAGCTTTTTCTGCATAAATTGCTTTGTCATTATTAGACTCCAGAACAAATTGGTTTATTTCCGAGATCTCTTTTTTCATTTCAGCTTGTTTTTCTTTAATTATTTGTTTGGTATTTAATTTTTAGCTTTTTTGTTATTAATAACTTCATTCCTACGTTTTTGCAACTCTTTAGTAATGATGCACTCTCTGTAGTTTGCCATATGAGCCTCACCACAGTTTGCACATCTTAATTTTGATTCCTTAGATTTGGAATATGCAACTGTAGGATGTTCACCAGCACATTTGACACAACGGGCTTTCCGACAGCTGACAGTTGCTACGTACATGGTTATATCCCTGGCAGTTTTTACATTGTACGATTCTGATTCTTGGATTCTTGTAAAATGCTTCTATTTTAACAACTTGATAACTAATGGTTTTGATGCCGTAGATTTTATCTATTGATTCAGAATTATCGAAGGTAAGCCTAAATAGCCTAAGTTTGACATGAGTCTTGATAGATTTTGTTTCATTCATTGAATCTTTCCTAAACTGAGTCTTGAGAATATTAATTGCTGAGAATTTTAAAATTCGTAGCTTTTAGATTTTCATTCTCTAGGATCGATAGTAGGATCCTCTTGCCATTATCTTGAAGGGACGTAAATTCTTGCATAGCTATTCCGTCTGGAACCCAGATTCTTTTTCATCATTTAACATTTTGATGATTTTACGATATTCTTTCCCATTTAGATAATTTATTTTGATATCACGTGATAGGGTAGAAATTTTCCCCTTAAAACCAAGTTTTCGTAAGTTATCAGTGGCTTTGTTTATGTCGTTTGGCTCACTAATGTAAATTCGCGGTGGTACTACTTCTTTATTATATTTTTTTAATATTTAATTACGCTGAAGCTGGTAAAGAGGGTTTAGTTCCCGGGGGAGTCAGTTCTGTTTCAGGTGAATTAGTAGTTTTTCTCTTACTTTTTTGGATTGGATCATCCAGTCATACTGTCCCTTGGTTGAGATTCCTTCTTTCCTCTGTGGAGACATAAATTAGAGTTTTATGTCACATATATTATAAATTTTCAGTACTAGTAGTCAATATCGAAACGCAACCGAAATTTTGTCGTCATAAGTATGCATAATTTGATCTGTTCATATATAATCATAAACAATTTTATCTATTTATATATAATTAGATCAGGTCAAAATTCATACATAATTAGATCTACAAAATTATATATAATTAAATATAAACTTTTTTTCCCGGGAATGCATATTAAAAAACAACCACATGACCTGAACAAACAGAGCGATACGAACTTACTCCACGATGTATCTTCCTATTCTGAACTCCCTTCCCGATTCTTTTTCCTCCTTCATCTGCTTCCCTAATTTTAATCTTTCCTTTATTTTTTTGATTTTTTTTGTTTTTCATTTCCACTTGTTTTTAACCTTTTCGTCTTTGTTTTCACGCCCACAATTGCTTTGTCCATTCTTGAGAGTAGATTTTTTTTATTAATGAACCTTTCTTTGCTTCCGATCAAGTACGGACCAATTTTTAATTCGATCAGACACGACTATTACTCGAAGCATTTTATTGGTTGGCCTGTATGTATTTGTATGTTTATATTTGTTAATATTATTACTATTTATTAATGGCGCCTAGTTGGTGATATGACTGTTTGAATTTATTTCAAAAATAATAGAGAAAAATAGCTATGTTTCTCGTTGTAGTTTATTACTATTTATTCTATTGACATTTCATATTATCTATTCTAATAACTCATTTTCATATCGAATTTTATTTTTCGCAATCCGGTTTTTAAATTAATGTTTGTATACATTTCTAGCTTATAAATGATGTCAAATTACTGGTCGCACATGATTCTAAGGAGATTGTTTTCTTCTCGGAACTCTGATTACGACTTTGCTTTTAATTCGAACAAATGTACTTATGTCCACCAACAATTGTTTCTGATTTACATCAGTCTCCGAATGATTCAATGATTTCATCTAACGACAAGAATAAGGCGTTACTTTTTTAACGAAAACGAAGTTTGAATATGTCATAACTATTTACGAATGTTATAGCGATTTTTATACATTGATATTTTAAATGATCAAGTTACAGGAATACCCTGTATATTAGTTTGCTGCTTTTGCTTTCTTTTATCAAAATAATTTATTCATTTATTCATTGCTTTGTAACGTATTTTTGCCCTCCTCTACTGCAGTTATAGATGCCAATATCTGTAAAAAAACTATCGAGAATTGCGAAACGGCCTGCGTGCCATTGCGTGGACCGCGTCTCGCGTTACGCCGTCGAATTCGACCGAAGACCGCTGAGCGCGTCCGGAAATGAGGATAATAAGATCTCATTAGTGCAGCAGCAACTTAATTACCGCTCATGATCCGATTTGAATCGTTTCGAATCCGCTCGAATATCGGATCGTAGCAAAATAAAAAGCCGGCCTCCGCTTTGAAAGATTAGATCTCCGATAGATCTCAACAAATTTCCTGTAGATCAAGTTTCGCTCCCACGAGTCGGTCCAGCAGACACCACTAAAAAAACATGGTGAGGAAAATCCGCCGCTGCCAGGATTTTTTCGGTAAAACAGAATCTTCTGATCGAGCCTCCGCATCCCACTATCGAAGAAATCCTCGAAATAAGGTGTTCCCTGCTGGGTCTAACATCGAATAGTTCTTTTTAAATTAAAAACTTAGCAAACGCATCGTCTGGGAGTATGGGCAACTCACCTCCGCCGGAAATTATCGATCGCGTCTGTGATCTTCCGACGAAGTTTTCAGGCGCTCAGGGCAACCGAGTGTACTGATAATTGCAATCGGATATTATTCGTCTTCTTCACTGACTATTTATGCGTGTCATATGTAATTGAATCGTGTTGCGAGGCGAATATCCAAAAAATTCGACACGTACTGCCGTATCGCGCTTTCCGTACTTAAGTGTATGGTTAAGAACTGCCTATGAACGAATTAGAGATGTGTAATTAATTCGACAGCTTCCGACTGTCTGATCTGATACAAAATCGTATGATAAATTTATATTTAAATTATTGTTACGTCTGGCAGATTCCACGATTCTTCTCTTTTGCAGCAAACTAACGGCTACTCATCGGTAAACAATAATGCCTCGAACGATTTACAAAGAATTCCTTGTTTATCACTAAATTATCAATAAGGGCCGGATTGCGATACGCTCAAAGGCTTACCTTCAAAAAATAAACCGCGAGACTCGGTATAGCGGAACTTCTTTTTATATATATTCTGAAATCAAACTATCCCAAATCAACAAATACTTTGAAGATAAGAGTTCCGCTGCGCGATTCAAAATTTTATAACATCCTACTAATAAAATCGAACTTACTGACGCGTGAGAAACGCGGAGGTCACCGAGAGCATTCGAGGCCGACGTCCCCAAAATCGAGATGTAACTAAAAAACGCCAATCAGAAGTTTGTGATTAGCGACCATTGGCGGACACACTAATCAAGTTCGCTGCTTACGCGAAAATTCTGAGGAAGGATTCATTCGACGTAATTCCCTTGTTCCTTCTTTCTGATCCTCTCTCGTCCTATGCATATCTTTTCATCTTTATCAAGTTATCTCGAATCCTCCTCCACATATCGTGGAATTTATCCAACTACACCCCTCAAAAAAAATAAATAAATACCAAACACATGTATAATATCGGTAGGATCTTACACTCTACCTATTACACAATAGTATTAAGATCAATTTCTCCGTGAATTCCTGCCCGATGACCTCCGAACTAATATAATTCGCGACACATCACACACACACACACACACACACACACACGCGCGCGCGCGCGCGCGCACGCATGCGCGCATACATTCATGCATATATATTACATTGTTTTCATAATAAGTCGTAACTTGTAACTTTCTTTGCAAACTCAATCTTGAATTCATTTTTCACATGTTAATTGGAATTCTAATTTTTCTTCTTCGTAAATTCATCACTAATATAATAATTCATTTTTATATATTAATTGAACTAGTATTTTATAAACAATTGTGCCTTCGACTGTAACAAATCCTCTTTATATATGCCTTTGTAGTTCATTAACCATTTCTCATAATTAAATGTTTATTTTTTTTTAAATCGAGTTAACTTATTTATTAATCCTCTCTTTCATTCCTCGCACAAGCTCCTATCCCAGGTTAAAGGGATTAACTTTTCTGACTTAAAAACGGACCAACACACTGGCACAGGCAGGAGATACAGCGTCATTAATGTTGATCCGTTATCCTGTGCATGAAAGGTGCGAATCGCAGGTCGATATCTCAACGTCGCTCTGCGAGAGAGAAAGATAGGAAGAAAACAAACGGTTCCGAACATCCTTCCCAGCTTCACCCGTTAGGTCGAATTTTTCGAAGCTTGGGCGTAACAGTATAAATGAATCTCGCATAATTATTATTCATTATTATTTATCGAAGAAATCCGTCAAAACCGGAGTTAATCCGCGCAGAAAACTATCACAAAATTACGAACGGGAACTGATCGTTTTTAGTTTTAAATTACAAAATTTTTTGCATTGAAACTACGTAATGTTAGGTTAATTAAAATCCTCTCCAAAATCCAAAAACGAATAGAAAAATCTAGCAACCAAGATCCTGCTTGCCGAAAAATAATCAAGTTTCTCGTTATAATATACTAACTTAAGATATTTGTTTAAGAAATGGTTTATTAAAATAATTTAATTAGTGTAAAAAGAAGAATGTGAAATATGTACAGTTTCAATTTTAAACAATTGTTAATTTGAATAAAAATGGACAAACTATTTAATAAAATGATAAGAATTATAAATTAATATATAATACATTGTCAATGTATGTAATACTTTTTAAGAAATATTTGTCAGAAGAAAATCAAATGAATATACGGGATAACCAAATACATGAAAGTTTTTGTGGAAAAACTACAAATACCTGAGAGACCACGTTCCAATTGAACGAGTAAGGGTCCTGAAGTGGCGAATCGTGCTTCCTCCAGATTTGCGACATCGTATTCTATCGTCAAAGATGCAATCGGTGCATCGGAATTTTTTTTGAGCGCATGCTGTGCTTCTGCTAAGTTAAGTCCCCGTAACTCAGTATCATCCACTGCCAATAACCGATCACCGGGTCTGATTCTACCTTCTTTGGCGGCTGGACCATCGGCTTTCACTCCCGTTACTATTAAAGCCTTTGACATTCCTCCACGGAGAGTTATACCGAGACTGCCATCCTCACGCTCTACTCTTACTTGTGCGACCTTCGATGAGACATTGGGAAGCGATGATAACGCACTAATGTTCTCTTGATCATTCAGCAATAAAAAATTATGAGGGTGGTACTGTATTTGCGTGAGCGTTTCTTCTGTTCTCGTTGAATCTGAACTTGTGGATGTAGCGACACTTCCCGGTCTAGGTCGACTCTTATGCGAGCGCATCGTCGTTAGTCTCAATGAACTGAACATCCTCATGGACCTTAATTTCGAAACGGTAATTTAATATATAAAATGTTCTACAATTAATAATACATCTTTAATGGTCGAGTCAAATAAGTAATATTAAACAAAAAAACTCCTCTGTTTTATGATGTTTGCAATAACTAATAAAATATGAATTTATAAATATTTGGGAATGAACATATATCTACGCCTACAAGAAATAACCTTGTGTTACGCATATTCATGGTTACGAGCGTAGTGAAGTGTTTGGAGATTTGTACTACAAACAGTTCTATCACAGTGCTTGCCAAAGTATTTTTTTCATCAAGATGGAGATTTTCGTGACGCATATTACCTCTGTTCTGATTGTTCGTTTTTGAGTCAATTCATTTAAGAAATTTATTCTGGGACTGGTTTGTGAATTAATCGTCTCCAAATAAATATGGAATTTTGTAAACATTGTAACACGAATCTTTCTTATTTATTATAATTCTTATTTATTATTTGATTATTTATTAATTAAGATAATTTCAAAATTGATTTTTAATTTAAATTCTTGGATTTGATTTATTTTATTAATTTAATTAATTTGATTCTTTAATTCTTTTAATTTTTGGATTAATGGGAAAGGATTTTGATTCGAAATTATTGCTTGATTTAATTAAAATCTTAGCTTCTTTAATCAGGCTTTGTGTCCTTCTCTTTTAGGCATTTATTTATTTCTGTAGCAACATTCCTCAGCTGCTGACAGAAATCTGTTATTTTCCATTCTTATAATCTAGCTATCAAAACTGACTTGTTTCTATTGCAGCACTCTTTATCTGCGATAATTTGATCGCTACACTCTTTGTCAGCGACCAAAAATCAGTCAGTCGGTGTTTTAAATTAATTTAAATATAAGATAAAATAAGATAAAATAAGATAAAATTCCAATTCTTCAGTTTATTTTCAATTTAAAATTTATCTTTATTGTAAGATTATTTTGATATTATTTCATTAAATTCTTCTAAAAGAATTATTTGACAATAAAATAATAATCTGACTTAATTACACTGATAACAGTTATTATTAAATCAAATTGACAATGAGTTTTTTGCGAGCTAAGGTAGGCTGAGGTTAAAACTCAGAAACAAAAGCAAAAGCTTAATAGCTAATAGCTTAATAACAATAATTGAATGCTACGGAGCTTTTTCCGCACGCTTATTTATAGGCCGAAATAATCAGAACTCCCCCGCGCGAGCTTTTCAACATTTCTTTCTTGAAAATACGTTTTTAGAGGAGGAAGATTCTTTCTCAGAGATATCATTTGAAACTTCGTTGCCGCAGCTATTTTCTAATATCAACGAAAAATCAATCAATAAGTCAATACTTCTTTTTTTATTATGAATCTCATCATACAATGTTAATATTTACTATTATATTAAGAGATAAAATTGTCTATACATAATATCTCTCTTTCAAGTTTACAGTAATAGATCAACAGATGGTCGTTGCTAAATCACGCAGAACTTTGCCTCAAAGTTTGCTGGGAGCGGCGTATCACCTCAAATGTGAAATAACGCCTGCACCCTGTGATTTCAGAAAATCATCATTGAAAATTTGTTTTTGGTGCTATTTTGTCTTTGAAGTAACACATGACTCTTGAAACAGAGCGTTGCGCGACTTAAGAACAATTGATTATTTGTTATTTATTATAGATTTTAAAAGTAAAGGGAGGAAGTAGGCAAAAATTAATCGAAAGTTGTACATTATGGCAAACACTGCTTTATCACTTACATGTAGTTTGTATCTCGAAACACATTGTCACGCTCCTATACAACTAGCAACTATGAGCACGCTATTTCTTTATGTATGTACGCTCATTTACGAATTTATAATTTAATATCATAAAGTGATGTTGAACAGACGAGCGAACTCTGAAAAAAACATTCACACATATACACATCTAAATATACATAGATACATTTATGTATACATACGTTCACAAACTTACTTATATATACATTTTTGCACCATATGAACCATATTTTTGTATCGACTTTTTATATTAAATTAAGTATCTAGCCTAATTCTAAGAACTCAAACTTCTTCGCATAATCTTCTTCATATAATCTTCCAGTTTAGCAATATCAGTCTGTAGATACAAACTGCGACATTTTTATATAAAACAAATATTAACATGATTTGACAACTCTGGATGCTACATTAAAGTATCAAATGATAAAAATCAAATGATATGATAAAAAAGATCTAAATTATAAAAATTTTTCTCGTTCTTGATATGAAATTTATCTTTATACTAGACACGTATTAATGTAAACTTTAATTGTGAAAAAACATTTTCAAATTTATAAAACTAATACAAAATTAAACCAATACAAAAGTTATAGTATTCTATATACAAAATACAGATAAGTTCAGTATCTCAGTAATACAGATAATACAGATAAATCAATATCTCCTTAAGGTTAATTTATGCACGACTGCACATGGCCATTAATTTCGGTTGAAACCATAAAAAAATTGATTAATCACGAATCGATTATTCTTTCAACATTCGTGATTGGTCAATTTCTTATGGATCCGGCCTAAGCTAATAGGAACTTGCAGAAAGCCTTTAGTAATTATTACAAACATCAAAAACATCAAAACTAGTAAAGAAATTTTTATTTAATATAATTTCCTTTACCTGTCCAGAAGAAATATAAGTTACTAATTACAGGATATATCATGTATATGTCTATATGCATATGCATGTGCGCGTATGTGTGTATGTATATAGTATCAAAATTACAAGATATTCTTTTCACTAATAGATTCTGTGAAATATTTAAGAAGAAAATTCTCATATGAAAATATTGAGATTATAATAATATTAAATAATAATTATGAAAATAATTATAAATTTTAGAGATCATGAGAAATAAAACTAATCAATCTGAAATTTATTAGTTTGTCTATAAAAGAATTCGCTCAAGAATGACATAGAAGATTTCGCATAGCTGAAGATGTTTTTGTACACTCATCTGCATTCACTATTTATGATACATTTTATTTGATAGTTTTATTTGTTCAATTTGATGTATATTTTGTAATATTATTATGTTGACATTAATGCTTATGTATACTCATTATACCCATAACATTGGATTATACTTAGAGTATATTTGGATTATATATGAATTTTTTCTCTATTATGTAAAAGTAATACCTTATATATGTATGCATATACATATATAAAGTATTACTACTTATCATATATTTCATTATATATGATTTGGATATACCTATACTCTTACCTTTGTGTTCCCGATTTATGGTTTTAGTTAACCGATTTCGAGATTATCATTTGTCATCGAAAACGAGAAAAAGATCGAGAGAAAGATCCTTAGTGATGAATGTATTATTAATTAATTATGAATGGAGCCGCCACGCTTTTTAAGTTTGTACACTTGTGTGAGAGCTGAAAAACAATAATGCTTATTGGATTTTTCTTCACTTTCAACTTTTAATCTTTCTTACAATAACCATTACGTATTACTATAGTAAACATTTTTCTAATAACTAATACAAATAGCGCAATAACTATTATTCAATAATAATGAATATAGATCAAGATTAAGATTTATTTGCTAATCTAATGAATCAATATTATATCGATCCATAATCATTACGATAAAGACTAGTAATGATTCCAATGCATTCTTTTAAACGAAAAAAAAAACAAATTTTTCTTTTTGATTTTCAAATAGTTCTTATTTTACTACAGTTTAATCTATACTTATTGTTTGGCATATATTTTATAATAATTATAATTATGTACCGTGTCATAATTTTTAAAAACGTATCTATGAGATATGATTGAGAAATCGCAGTTTAATTCGCTTGAGTTAATCACATGCTTGTGATATCATTGGTTTTACACTGAGCATTTGATATATATTTGATATATCAAAAATGTTCTAATGCTCTTAAATTATCTTCTTATCAATGATGTGTGTAAATGATAGTATATTAATATCTAATCTTCATGATACATATTAATATATTATTATATGTGTTTAAACACATCGTCGGTGAAAACTTATATATGTTAAAAATAAAAAAATTATTAATTAGTATGTGTATTAAATGATCGGTGTAAACTATCGGTTCATAATCTTATAATGATGCATATTTTTTAGCATCGTTTCGTGGCCGTCGAATCACTGCCAAGTGATATCTGACCGACGATCCGTCGGGCGTAAAGATGAGAAAAGATCTCGTCTTCGAATGACATCCGAGTTCGACTACCGAACGCGAGAGCGCGATCCATGACTGAGGGTGAATCCATCACTGAGGGTAAGGGCAACCCGCCTCCGCCGGGAGATACCGGTCGATTGCTTTCCTTTTTATTCCAAGCGCATCAAAGAAATCTGAGCGCTCCTGAAATCTTCCAGCCGGATACTTTTTATTCGGGTCTTATTTTCAAAGATATTTACAACATGGTCTATCACCTGTTCTTAGCGTTACCCAGGGTCAACGACGTGGACGTGACGAGGTTCGATCCTTTTTGATTTTGCTGTTTTTGTTTTCGTTTTCTTTGTTTTTTTTTATGTTGTTTTTTAGAGTATTTAAAGAAGATACTCAAAGGATGTCTGGCTGATCTGCCATCGTTAAATAGGTCCGCCTTATACGGGCATTAAAACTTAGTTTTCAAGTTTGGTTTTCCAATGTGTTTTGCACAGATTTATTTTTATTAATACTTTCGATATTGCTTTGATTATTCTTCGGATCATATCCTCTCTTATTGAGACTGTGACACTCTCGGACTCTTCTAAATTATTTCTTATCCTTTCAGCGCTTATTCGATAAGTTATAACTTTAATTTTTTTTGGCCTTTTTCAAAATGAATGCATTTCAAGAGGCGTTTAACAGGTTTATGATTCTGGAAGAATGCAGAGGTGAGACTATAGAGCTATGACTATAGAGCTGCTGCTAACGTGTACAATGAACGTTTTCCAGATCAACCGGCGAAGTCATATGGCATCTACGTATAAGGATAAGAAATAATTTAGAAGAGGAAGAAACAAAAAAAACAAAACAAAACAAAAGAGATCGAACCCCATCACGTCCACGTTGACTCTGGATAACGCTAAGAACAGATGGTATATTTTGTTAAATGTCTTCGAAAATAAGATTCAGATAAAAAAAGTGTTTCTGTATATGTTTCTACAAAAGTTATTTCCTTTTTTACACAAAATAATATCGCGTGATAAAAATAACATGTTTCCATTTAAGAAATCAAAATTGACCTTCAAATAATCTCGAAAATGTCCATAAAATGACGAATTAAAAATATTATCGTATGTCCTCCTCGAAACCAAATAACTTTTATGTAAACGCTTTTGTTTTGTTCTTTAGATAAAAATTCGTCACGCTTCAAATGGTTCACCCTGTATAGATCTACATTCTTATTCATAAGCAAAATCATCAAAGAGTCCGCTTTCTCGCAAATTAAATAAGTCAGTCTGACGACATGATTTACGCCCGTCCTGCTAGGCGACAACGCGCGCGTAATTTTGATATAACCATATAAGGTAAATAAATATGATAATGAATTTTTTTGACAGCTATCATATGGTACAATATGTCGTTATTAAACAGATATTTTGCGATATTATGTTGCGATATTAATTATGTAATATACAAATAAATTCCGAAGCAGAAATAATATTTAATAAGAATGTCCTTGTATATTTCTGTGTGTATTCTCGATGTTGTAAGAGGACCCTCGTAGTGGAACCTTTATCACTTGTCATATCACCATATTTGAGCGCGCGAAATATGAGCTCTGTAGATTAGTGAACTTTAATCGCCAAATTAATTTAAAAACTATTATAGCCTGACTATTTTTGATTAGGATTTTCATCTTAGAATGTTCCAAAGATCTGCTCTTAAAATGCTACCTAGTTTTGGACACCTTGTATATGTAATATATAGTAATGTATGTACATATATATATATATATATATATATATATATACACACATATATATATATATATATATACATATATTGTGACCGCTGCCCTGAATTTGTCGGTCGTCGTTCGCGAAAGGCCGGGAGGCGCAGGCGAGTCCAAACCCGCCACGCGCCTGCGCCTCCCGGCCCGCCGATAACCGGCACATAGCAGCAACTTTTATTTTACTTTCTTAATCGCTTAGTGTCGGTCCACAATAAGTATTTAATCTTTAAGTCGTAAGAAATTGACTAATCATAGTCGAGTATTCTTTTCATATTCGATTATAATTGGTCAATTTCTTACTTCTTAAAGCTTAAATCACCTATTGTGGACCGACACTTAGGCTGGTGTCCCATGCGCGGAAATTCACAGCGGACCGGAACGCGCAAACCAATCACAGCAAAAGAATCAAAAGAAAACTCGTTCAATCTGTTCGTTCTTTTGCTGTGATTGGTTCGCGCGTTCCGTTCCGCTGTGGATTTCCGCAACATGGGACACCAGCCTTACATACAACACGGTTGGGCGTCAGGCACGCATTACGTGCCACGAAAATCCGGGATTTTATTCGTCTACGAGTAGCGGCAACCGAATGCACGGCAGCTCAGGAATCATTAGGTAGAGTGCTAGTCCGATGGTCACAGTACTATTCGAAGGGAGAGAGAGAGATAGAGACCAATAAATAATCAATGGTTAAAATTAACAATAAGTTTATTCGCGGAGTCTCCAACACTGTCTCGAGGCAGTTTACAATGTAAATTCGATCTCACCGATCACGCGGCGCGCGGCCGATCCGAAAGTCGCGCGACGTAGAGATGATCGGTAGTATCGGGAGATTTCGGTTAATAATATCCGCGATATTTGACGATTTCTCATGCAAAATTCGTCGCACATCGAGCTCTTGGAATTCTCAGCGGTACTGGCAGCCAAATATATAATGCTCATGTAATTAATTAGCGCAAATAATTATATTAATGCAAATAAGGCGATAATAAGCGCGCGGTAACCCGCAGCCCGAACAATAACATGCGCAAGCGAAAATATGTGGCAGTTAAGCCCGCGACCGAAAGCAGGATAGCGCAACATACAAAATAGCAAATAGCGACAGCTATGAAATCGAACGTTAATGATAATTTGAAACTATACTACACTGATGAGATCACAATCACTACGACTCGACGTGTAAATGCGATGCGACTTCACTACACGATACAACATATATTAGCCGTCGAAACGGCATGAAAAGACATCGCATACAGTAATATCACAAAACGGCAAGAGACATTAACAAAGGTGACTTAATGTGGCCGTTGGGAGGGGGGGGAGCGAGACATTGTCTGGACTTCCCTTTCAGGCGGGCAATCGCCACGTAGTCGCAGGCACCGGCATTTGATTCGCTGCACTCTACTTCATTCACGAAACCTGCACTACCTGCACTCTCGCGACGCTTGCCCGGTTCACTAACGATGCTGGCTTGTCCTTTTCGGCAGATTCATGACCCTCGGATCCCCATCCTTTCTCTTCGCATCACGAGCGCATCACGAGAAGTAATCTTCTGCGTCCTCGCGGAATACACGCAGGCAATCGCTGCCTCCCTCTCGCAATTTGGGACAATTTTATTATTGGCCGAAAATCGGCTAATCGGCCGCGAAGTCCTCATGGAAAATTTAAATGCGGCGACATCTGTGGCCACGTCTCTCGTCTCCTTGGCTCTTTAAGCTCTGAGATTCTCGCATTTCCTATCGTCAATTTGGTATCCTTGCCGGTTTCCCATCCTTCCGGAGCTTCGCTGGGACGTTCTGTGACCGAGGTCCTCTACGTTTTGTTCCGTGGGGTGGCGCCTTCCTCGTCCTCGTCTGGCTCGCTTCCCGATCGGCAATGGCAACTTTTCAAGTAACGAGATCTCTTTCAAAAGCGGCATTTCCATTTCAGCTAATGCGGGTGCGTGAGGAATAATACAACCTGTGTGCTACGATGTGTTCCTGTCGCTCCTCTCCAACCATTACTCCTCCACTCTCGTATTCGCTCCATCGATTTCCATTCGTCGGTGAGCGCAACATATAGGCAGAAAATAACTGCCAACTCCGCGTCCTGAAAATAATTACGATCACCGCGCGCGACCACAGCAACGGGCCCGTTGATCAAACGACAATTGTTCACTTTCCTCCCTCCCCCCTCCTTCGGAGGACGCGGATCCGAATCACTCCCTCGCGGTCGGGGTCTACGCTCTTTGTGAC